TAGAGAAAAGTGAAACAAACTAAGGCTTTGCAATGCAATGCAAGAGATTTTATGTTTCTTAATTCCCACATTGTTGAATCTTACTTTTTAGAAACATATCCTTTTTCTATTCTCTTTTGAAGCAGTGTTCCATATTTCAAGCTCGTGCTTGACGAATTAATGGACACCCGGTCTGCTAATGTTCTGTTTGTTGCACTCTGTAAATATGTTCAAATCCTATATAAAGACACTCGTGAACACGAGTCAGAGCGAAGTTGTCCGCCGCTCACTTCTATTCCTGCATTTTTGCAGATGGGTTCGCGTTTAGTTCTAGTCCTGCTGTTAATTGCCGCTGCTTCGTTCGTTGAAGCTCAGTGGAGTAAGGAGGAAAATTCCAGTAGTATTCAGCATACAATCTGAATTAATTTGAAGATTCCAAAGCTTTCAGATGATTTAGGCTACTACCGTTACGGCCCCTGGGGTGGCTATGGGCCAGGTATGTGGGGAGGATACCGCCCATATTGGCGTGGTGGACCGTTCTTTGGACCTATGATGTGGGGAGGATATGGAATGATGCCTTGGATGTGGGGATGGAGAAGAAAGTGAGATCTGACAAAAACTACATGAAATTCTTTCCTTCTGTTCTTTTGTGCATTTGATCTCTATTTATTAGCGACTTAATGTATTTTCTATAAGTGTATAAAGTTATTATGAACCGATTGCATTTAAACACACAATTTATTCTAAATTAGTTGCTACCCCTTTTCGCGTACCTTTTAAGAAGCTTTGGCTACTCGTAGAACAGAATGCACATATCTTTTTCAATTTACCACCATCCTTTATTCTGCTTGCATTTTCCTCTTCAGATCCCACTTATATACCCATTTTTGTCTTTTGTGGCCATGCAATGCAAGCAACGGACGATGAAGCTGCAATCTGACGATGATAAAAAAACTGTAATTTGATACACACCAAAGCTAAATGTCGTCATTCAGTTATCATGTGTTCGGATAGTTAGAATACGCTGGCAGTGGACGAAAAGACTAATAATAGCAAGTTTTCAAATAAAAGGATTTCGTATGCTGCTTAACAGAGAAAACCTATCTATTATTTAGCTCACAAAATTACAATCAACTGTCGCCTGAACAGCGGACTATGAGCCCGCAGTACATTGAATCTGTTTTCGATAAATTGACACAGCCTTTTCCAACTTTCCAAGGGGAAAGAATATCTCTAAAGCACGCTATCCTGCCGGAACGTAAAATCCAACGGGCAGTAATTTGTCTGGTTGTTCTTTTAAGTTGTATCAAACGTTTGAACAAGTAGAAAAGAGAAAATATTCTGCGCAATAAGTTGCGATTGTTTGCTGACTGAAATCTTAGACACTGACCAAAAATTATATGAGAAGTCTTGCGAAATCTTCTGTCAGACTGTTTGATTATCTTGGCTTGAGCAAGTCTTTTAACTTGTTGAGCGCACACCAAGATATGTACTCTCCTTTACAATTTTTGCGCTAATTTCAGACTCTTGCATGAGTAATGTGTTTAGCAAGAATATTGCATTTTCAGAAGTAGACGCAAGAACAGGAACCTTTCGCACGCCTTAAAAACCCTCCTATAAATTATTCACGGAATTTGAAGAAACTGTTTCCTTCCTTAACATCCTCATTTGCTTCCGAGTGCAAGTGTGTATTCATTGTGACATCTAGCTCAACGATATAAGTTGAGATGAAGAAAAGTGCTCTAATTTGAAATCAGCTAGACATAATCATTTTACTCTGAGTTGATAACTTTATCGCACTGGTAGTTGAAGGCAAGAGGAAGGACAGCAAAGGGTAAGACAAGAAAGTCACTATTCATGCAAATCTGGGGCCGGATTCATCATTGAAATTGAGGTATTGTTTACCGCTGAGGTAAACATACCCAAGGTATTTTCAACCCTAAGGTAAAAATTGCATTCATCAATATTTTACCCCGGAAGGTGTAGGAAATACCCCGATGTCAGTCACCGCGCACTGGCGCTTCATGAGAACGTCTTATGACGTGTTTTCGGTGCTGATTTCCTAAGTGGATTTCTTACTTTGCAATACGATGTGATGCAATTTTGCCGTATCGCGCTGTATTTTTTCAACTTCGTCTCTCCGTGTGCATGTCGTTGAGGTCATATTTTCGCAGTTTTCTTTTCTAGAGACCAATATATTTTTAGGAGCAAAAGTTAGCGATTTTGACTTGGCCAAAGCGAAATGAACGGAAATTTTTACTTTTTAATTAATGATAAGAGAGCAACCTAAATCAGTATGTGGTGGAATAACTGTCGGAGGCTTAAAGTACTTTTCCATCTTGATGAAAAAAACTATCTAACTAGTTTTGGTTCTCTGTTCGAAAATTTTTCTTCAAAAAAGAAATCCCTTGCCACTTTCACAGTAGGTTTGGTTTTTACGTCCTAGTCAATTTGTTTCTTACTTTCCTTTTAAAAATTGCTGTTAAATCGAATTTTTCAGCATTTTGGAGATTGATTGTTGTCCTAATTTTTGAAGTTGTTATTTTAACGAAAAACCATCTGTGGTACTAGTACACAGCAAATATTCTACAATGATTGACAACAAGTGGAGTTTTATAACATAAACTTTTAAGCCAGAGGCGACTGAGATTTGAGTTCAACTACATAAGTGAATGTTACCGCATTTTTCAATCAAAAAGCGAAATGAGTGTACAGCTCCCTAAACTCCATTCGGTTTTATGTGAAAGGTCGCAGTAAACTTGATCTTTGCCTTTTTAGTAGCTTAATGACGCCATCAAAGGAAGCTGAATTGATTGCTTACATTTGATTAATTCCAAATTTATCTACTGTGCAATCTGCTCTTCTCGAAAAGAATAAATATAACTCGCAACTTTAATCACTTGCATAATTTGTCAGTAAGGTGCTCAAAAGGTTTTTTT